CCCTCCGCGCCGGACGCCGCGGCGGAAATAGCTCCGCCGGATCCGGCAACAACGTCGCAGCCCGGCGCCGAGATCGCCGCCCCTCCCGCTCTAGCTCCGAAGCGGCAGCGCCGACCGAGCGTCCGATTGGGCGAGATCGGTGACCAACGCGCCGCCACACACGGTCACGACTCGCACACGCGCCGCCCGAGCATGCCGCCGTGGAGCTGGCGGACTCCGAAAGAGTCTTCCAGAACCTCGAAGGCGCGGTCCGTGGCGAACCTCAACGGCGGCGAAGAGTTCGGGAACAATAACCGAAGAGGAAAAGCAAAGCGAGGAGGACCAACGACGAAGCGGTTGAGGTCGAATTGGATTCCGAGAGCAACGATCGACGAAAACGGCGACGAAGAAGGTTTTAGGGATTTCGAACACGAACACGAGCACGAACATGGACACGATCAGAGTCCGGTACACTCGGTGGAAGAGAACGGTGTTGATTATTGGCACGTGGATCGGAACGAGGATCCTAGGGTTAGGGTTTCGGACAACGAAGGCGTTGAATCGGAATCGCAGGAACGGAGGAAGAGCGAGGGAGTGAGGTCTTGGCTTTTCGAGTTAGGATTGAGTAGGTATGCACCTATGTTTGAGATCCACGAGGTCGATGATGAGTTACTTCCGATGTTGACTTTGGAGGATCTCAAGGATATGGGAATCAACGCCGTTGGTTCCAGAAGGAAAATGTACACTGCGATCCAGAAGCTTCGAAAATGCATGCCGTGACCGTGATGTAATGGAATGAAGATGAATGACTGAATGTATGTATAATATGTATGTGTAGTTCTTTTGAGTTTCTTTTGTTTTGGCTTTGAATTGTGGATACAAGTGCATGTATGTATGTATGTATAAGAGTTTTTGTTTATCTATGGTGAATGAACAATAGGGGGTTAGTGACTGTTATCTGGTTGAAACTTCTTGATGACATGGTTTCTTTCCCATTTTTCCGTGTGATTTTGTTGCCTGATTGAAGAATAATGAACTTCATGCAATCTCACTTAATTAATGCAGCACTCTTAGTCAATGATAATCAAGTGGCGAAGTTTGAAATTTTTGCTCTTTTGTTCCTAGACTGCTATTTTGACGTTATGTACAATTTAATGCTCCTGAAGCTTCTAGTTAAGCTGAAGATTGATGTGGTTTCCTAAGATGGAAACATGACTCGAGAAATATGTAGCGTAATTAAGTTGTCCTGTAAATCTATAATTGATGAGAATGATCCCTCCCTTATAACTTGGGTATTCTTCCATTAAAACCTGCATAGGGTTAGGGAGATTTTATACTTGTTTCTTTCCTTGTCTGTCTTTTAGGGCAAGACTTCAAGGTTGTTACTTTCCGCTGACTGTTATATTACAAAATGGCTGTTCATTTTCTTCTGTTTGCCTTGAATCATGTGTGCTGGTTGTCCTTTAGCCAAACACTCTGAAGTGCTTGTTCACTGAATTGAATTGTATGGTTTGTGTAGACCAACATTTTATTTCTGATTCTGCCATTTCCCGGTTCAACAAACTCAATGATTATGTTGATATACTGCAAGCTGAGGCATCTTGTCCTCTCGATAAATTTGTGTATCTGTAAAATATAAGATGATGGGCTGGATAAAATTTTGTTTCTGTATTTTGATTAACCTTTCAGCTACTTGATCTGTATTCTAAGTTCTAACTACGATACTGAAATATGGATATCTTTTTTTTTTTTCTTTTTCAGCTACATGAGTGTCAGATATGATATTGTGCTTGCAGTTTATACTGATAAGATTTCCTGATCTTATAGACGGGATAAATATGTATAAATTCTGCAAAGTGATTAATAAATAGTCAGAACATTTATGGTAGTTTAGGAGACACCTTTTCTTTCCATTGTATTCTTAGGAGTCAACTGACTGCCACAGTTTTCCTAACCCGGTGCAATGCCACCTTAACTTGCATAGATTGACATCTATAGAATAGAGTGGGAAACACTTGTTTAATTTGTGATGCGTGGACTTGTAACTTGTTAATGAAGTTTGGTGCCCTCTTGATTCACATTCTGTGATGAAACATTAACTGAAAATTTGATTTGGAATATAGATCAAACTGGTTGACATGTAGGCACAGCTCTAGAGATCATTATGAGAAGTTTTTATGAAGACATAGTATATCTAGTTCTTGTTTGATTTTAATTAATTTTAAATTATTTTACACTCAATAAGTTAATACAAACACTTTAAGAATCCTTAGCTTAAACCAATGAGTGGTTGTTGCCTCAATTAGCTTCCTTGTGAATTTGGTTATATAGAAAAGAATGTTTAAATAGGAACAGTTGTCACTATATCTTAAATAGTATCATTTGAACTACTTTTTAAGTTTTAACTTCAAATTGTCCAATGTGCTTGTGAAGCTAATCATGGTTTGAAGCTCAGTAGCTTACTTTTTGAATTAAGAATGATATTATATCTCCATACGAGATTCTCTTATTGCTTTAAATGCAGGGCACTATAATATGATTAGTAATATACTCTCTCCGTTTTTTATTCATAGTCGTTTTGTCAGAATTTGTCGTTTTTTTTTCATTGTCATTTTATTAAAATCAATGACTTATTAATTTTTTTTTCTTATTTTTACTCTTGATAATTAATGTATGTTTACTGAACAATGTACCTATTTATTTCTAATGTTTACTTATTTTTTTTTCAACCACCTATGTGAAGTTAATGTTACATTTAAAAGGACAATATGTTTCTAACGAAATACTATAAAAAAGTCGAGGGTAGAATAGGAAAGTAAGTAATAAATATTTTTGAAAATTAAAATATCAATCATTTCTTTAAGTCTCGTGCAAAACCTTAAACGACTATAAATAAAAAACGGAAGGAGTAACATTTTCGTCACGTCCAAAATCCGTATTCTGTTGGATTCATTTATTTTGCTTCCAAACAAGTTAAGAATCTATTTTGCTTGATTGATTTGTCATGTCTGGTTAATGTTATCCAAATTTTTATTGATTGTTGTTGGAGGTTCCTCTACATAAATGTTGAATGGAATTGCAGTTGCTTGCGCTCTAATATCCTTTAACTCTCAACCACTCTCGCGAGAATGAAAACATATTATCATCTTTTTTGTGATTCTCTTTTCCGGCACTAGGGGTTTTCTATGCTCATAAAATAAGAAATGTTTATAATCAATTAGAAAAGTAACGAGACAATAATTTGATGTGGACGAGAATCTTTTAGAAAGGAATTACGTGACTCTCTTTTTTGTTTCTAATAAAATCCAAGTGAGATTAGAGGCTCCTATTCCATGGTATGGAAGAGAGGTCCAGCCATTGAAGGTTGGACTTTTGTTGTAGTGCAAAATATAATACTCCAACATTAAAACAGAGAGTTGGGTAGTTTGATTTTAAGGTTGTGTTTGGAAATCACTTTTTACTTAATACCTTGTAACTAGTTTCACACCATCTTTATTTTTTTTAAAATTTTGTTTAAAAATATCCTTATATATATGTATATATATATATATATATATATATATAATATATATTCTTTGATAGATAACTTCACACAAATTCACTCTTAAAAAGTGAAATTAAATCTACATGGACCCACTACAATTTTTTCATAAATTACACTTAATTCCATGACTACAAATACATGTGTGACTATGTTTTTATCTTCTTCGACAAATGGAATAAAAATGATAGATCATGGGACCAAATTATATATCAAGAATACAATAAAAACGACAAAACTCTCTTAATGGTTAATCTTGACTTTAAATTTGTAATCACAATTTTGTAAGCAAGTGCAAAAAAGAAAAAGACTATAATTATTATTATATTTATTATATTCTATTATTTATAATACATTATATATTTACAAATTAACCACAATTTAAATTATTTTATTTGTTAGTTTAACGGGTTAGTTAGTAAATATGTGAACTAACTTGACTTGAGCTTATTTAACTTATTGAACTACATTAAAATTGTTTTTCTTTTTAGGCCATTTTTTTAAGACCTGGTATGACCTTCTTTACATATTGGTTAGACTAATTTATTGGACATAACTCAATTTGATACTCTATTTGCACTAAAAAAAACTGTAAATTACACAAAATTTTAATATTTTAGTATTGAATGAAGTTTTGTGCCCATTTTTAATTCTATATAGATCATTAATGTATTTTTTTACATGAAATTAATGGTTTACTTGAGCTAAATAATATTATTATAAATAATAACATTTTTCTTTTAAGCATTTAACAATTGCATATTTAAGACTTAAAATAATTAATTAAATTAAAATAATATTTATTATTATTATTAAGAAGTATTTCGTGTCGAATATCAATGACAATCTTTTTTTAAAAATTTGACAATCACCGAATAATCTTTTCAATTTGAGTTCACACGTTGAAGTTTTTCTTTTTCTGTTTTAATGATAAGGAATAGATTTCAACGTTTTTCTTTTTCAGTTTTAGTGATAAGGAATAGATTTTAAGTAATTTTGCAAAATGAATTGAATTACCATAACATCTTTTTCACAATTTTAATATTTATATTTATTTTATTGGTTTTTTAATAACTAAAATCAACTTTTTATCTTAAATTTTGTCTAATAAGTAATAAAAGCATAACAAATATTGTGACATTAATGTATACATGTTGATAATAGAAAATGTATAACAAAAACCAAAAACCAGAAAAATTGACTTTATAAACACTGTTGTTGAACATCGAATTTTATTTTTCTTTTTATTTAAAATTTGTTTTTTCTTTATTAATTTATAAAAACCAATATCATATTATAGTTTAATGTGATCTGGTTAAATATTAAATATAATTTAGGTAAAAGACTTAATTATAATAATTAAAACTTTATAAGGATCAACTGCAAACAATTAATATAGAATGACCAAAATTTCACGTAAATTAAATTACAAAGATGACAAATACAGTTAATTAAGTTTAAACATTAAAAAATATGTTAATAACATTATTTTCCTTAATCATTTCGAAGCTATTTTGTTTGTAGTGATGCCCCAATGCCTGTCAGTTCAAACTTAGTTTGGGCCATGAGTTCCGACAAATGTATTTCGACCACTGATACTCTCTTTATTCTCATTTTAGATGTGTATGTATGCTAGTGTCAAAAGAAGCTGCTTCTTTCTTTATTTAATTCTTTCTTTTAAAAAAAAAAAAATCAGATTCTATTGTCAAACAATTCCTGGACACATTGATTGACACCCAATTTTAGTGGTGGCTAAGAAATTAATGAAGGAAAAAAATATCACCTTTTATATATATATATATATATAGATATATGTTAGAGATAGATGTTTGTAATATGAAGTTATATCACTGTTTTTAATTAAACACCGTGTATTCTTTAAATGGAGTTTCCTTGCTTTATTCTTTCTCAACCAAAAAAAGAAAAATATAATTTTAGTGTATCATCTTATTATTATTATTTTTAGTTTGACTTCTTAAATTTGAATTTTTTCACTTTTTTAAAAGTGTTTCTACTGTATCAAATTGGTTATTTTTTTTTTACTTTATCATGCTAACTTGGTGATATATTAAAATAAAAAAATTATTTTACGAGACTAATAAATTTTTTAAACTTAGAGGCATTTGGTAGGGGATTTTTTTTCTTCATACACCCAGAAATCATAATTCGTAGAAATTACAAATTCTAGGAATCATTATTTCTAAAAATATCTAAAATCTATTTGATTATAAGTTGGGGATATTATATTCTCAATTCTCTCGTGAAAATGTTCTCGTGAAAAAATAAGATAAAAATCATTTTCGAAAAATAATATTTCTTGGAATTTTTTTTAAATAAATATCAAACATAAAAAACTAATAATATTTTTAATCTAAGATTCTCAAGAAACTAAAAGTTTCTCTCCTACTAAATTTTTTTATTTTGTTAAGCAAAAGAGATTTATTAAAAAGGAGTACAAGGGGTACTCTAACCTATATACAAATACAATAGGCCAAAGAATATTTGTAGCAACTAAAAAT